AAAAAAAATGTGCAAAATGATGTAAAAATAAACTTTGTAATAAAAAAAAACATAAAACTAAAAACTAACTATGAAAAGAAAGTAAGGGGCTCACTTATATATGGAATATAGAGAAACCAAACAAAAGGTCAAGAAAGGTAAAAAAGCATACAGAAGGGAGGGGGTTTAAGAAAGGGCAAAAATATGGGAGGAACCTCTCTGGGGGCCTAGGGATTAAGTCTCAGTGCTATCACCACTACAGCCTGAGTTTGATCCCCAGCTAGGAAACTAACCCATATAAGGTGCAGCAGACCTCTCCTGTCTTACCCACTGCTCCCCTCAGCAATCTATTTCAGTAGATCTGGCTTGTTCTGCTCCCCAATTTGTCTCTGATGAATCTTCTTACACCTTTGGCCTACACCCCAGTTCTTCTACATAAAAAAAAAAAAAAAACGGGAAGGGAGAACATAAGGGAATATGGTAATGATTCATGAGTGAAAAGGTGACAGAAAAATTATGGGGACTATGACAATGAAAAAAATTAGTAATTCAAAAAATATATGGTCTAGAAGTAGCTGCCTTCATCTATCAATGCTTTTCTTTTTTTCATCTTTTCTATTAGTGAGAAAAGTTGCCTGATTAACACATTAGCTTGTTGGAAAAAATTACATTTGAAGCATTTCAACTTCTAAATACTGACATCGTTCCCCTATTTACCGGTTGTATATGAGTTAATATTTATCATAGAAACACATGCGTCGCAGCAGAACAGACTATGTGTCATGGTATCACAACTTAAGTCTTATTCAAGAGGAAATACCTTACCGTGTTTCATTTTGTCTTTTAGAAAGAAGCAATGATTTGGTTCAATTAGATATTTCTTCAAGGTCCTCCATGACCTAAGGAAAATAAGAATTGAGATGTGTTTTCCTCCATCTCAATTTTGATTTATATACACACATATGTACACATCTTTCTTATCAAATTATATAAATGTGCCCCTTATCTTTATGATATGCAGGGTTGAGGTGAACTTGCTAGAATATCCAGACAAGCTAGATGCTTCCCTACTTAGGGGAGAAGTTTGTTAATCAGAACCCTGCCAGGTGTCACAGAAGTGAGCACCTTTTCTACTCCCCTATTTTCGGTGTCACCCAAAGTTCTAACAAGCTTGATGATCTTTTAAGATATTACAAAGCATGAAGGAGTCACTTTCTAACAACAAGAAACAACTGATGGCAAGAAAATATCAAAGAAACAAAAAGACTAAAAGAACCTGTGCCTGATGAGGGCAAAAGTTTCCTCTCTCAGCAACATGCTGTGAGGCCATCACCCTTGTCTGAGGTAGCTCAGGTGGGATCTATAATGGGTCTGGGACCTATAATCATCTGAGTTTAAATCCTTTTTCTAGATGTGTGATCTTGATCTTAATGTCTCTTAGCCCCATTTTCTTCATTGTGGAGTGAGGTATACTTTGATTCCTACTTTTAATTTATACAATAGCAATTTAGCAATTAAACAGCATACTGGTTAGTTGTTATGTATTCATAGTTATTCTTGCTTCTTTTCCCCTTAGTGTTCATTTCTGATTGTATGGCATTATAGTCAAAGAGAATACTTGGTATAATTTTGATCCCTGTAGCTTCAACATTTGTCCTGCTGTCCCAACATATAGCCTATTCTTAAAATCTTCAATGTATGCTTGAAAAATAATGTTGTATGCAATGGTTCTTGGATGGAGTATTCTATAGAAACCTGCTAGATTTATTTGGTCTAGCCCCTCTTTTAAGGTTATTGCTTATTCAGCAAAGGATTGATCTGTCCACAGTTGAATGTGAGGTATTAAAGAGGCCCTACTATAGTGGTTGTTTTCTATCCATTTCTATTTGGTCATTGTCTTAAGTGCTCCATAATTTGATGAATGTATGAGTGTCATATCTTCTCAGCTCATTAGGTTCTAAGTAATAATATAATGTCTATATGTCTTATTAGCCTTTTTAATGGGAGTCTATTTAACAGATATTAGTATAGTTTCTTCTGCTTTTTTTGGTTGCATTTGCTTATATGACTGTTTTCTAGCCTTCAACTCTAAGCTTTTGTTGGTGAGATGTATTTCTCATAAAAAACACACAGCTATAATTTTTTTTAAGCCATTCAGTCACTCTACATCTTTAGACTGGTGAATTCAGTCTATTTATATTGAAGGTAATTACTGAGACATCAGTGCTCTTTGACATTTTCTTTTGTGTTTCTTTCTTTTTTTCATTTTGGTTTTAGTTTGGTTTGTCTTTCTATGTCTTATTTAGGTTCCTTATCCATTGTCCTTTGTGTTATATTAATTTTTTGGAGGGTTCTACTGAGGTCAGTATATGAGGGGCTATTTATGTGATCTGATTTGTTTTTTTCTGAATGATCACATTGTTACTCTTCTACATGTTAAATGATTTAGGTGAACTTGTTGTTGCCTGTATAGTAGAAGCTTTATAATAACCCTTTTGACACTTCTTTCTTTTTGGGTGGGGCAATACTGAATTGCAAAATCTTTCTTTTTTTTTACATAATTCTTTTTTGTGCATTTTTCCATCTCAGTTGTAATTCCCATGGCTTCCCACCACCACTTCACCCATGTGCCATCACTACAGTCTAGTGCACTCTTCCCAACCCAAGTTCCGATCCCATTTCCCCTCCTACCCCCCATAAAATGTCTCTGGTTTATAGTTGATCATTGTTTTCATTTTTACTCTATTACATTTGCTTGTCTCTTCCAAACCCCTCTCCCTCCTCCCCAATCCCTTATGCTCCTGCTATGACTGAAACCATCCGGTATTTTTCTTTTTCTTTCAGGCTTATTTCACTAAACATGATCCCTTCCAGCTCCATCCATGTTGCTGCAAAAGGCATGAGTTTATCATTTTTGATTGCTGAGTAATATTCTACTGCATATATGTGCCACATCTTCTTAATCCAGTCATCTACATTTGGGCATTTGGGTTGATTCCATTTCTTCCCTATTGTGAATAGAGCAGCAATAAATATGGGGGTGCAGGTGTCCTTTTGAATCAATTTTTATGTCTTTTGGGTATATACCTAGGAGTGGGATTGCTGGGTCATAATGGAAGCTCTATTTGTAGCCTTTTGAAAAACCTCCATATAGCTTTCCATAGTGGTTGTATCGGTTTGCATTCTCACCAGTAGTGCAGGAGAGTTCCTTTTTCTCCACATCCTCACCAACACCTGTTGTTGGTAGTTATTTTAATATGTGCCATTCTCACTAGTGTGAATGTGGTTTTTGGTTGGGAGTGACCAAGTGCGGAGATTGACTGAGGGATTGGATAAGACAGTACTAAATTAGGCCTTGCATCCAATTAACTGGGCCTCGTATCCGGGATGGAACTAGCTGAAGGATAACGAACTGGGCCTCACATCAAGGACACAGCAATGAGTCATTCCTTTGGCATCTGAGCTTTGCACCTATGCAGGGAGACCCTTCCCCCTTATTGAGTTGGCAATAGCTGCAGACCCCACCTAGGGACTCCATCTCAGCTGCTGTCCAGGAGTAATAAACTCTGCTTGCTCAGCCTTTCTGCCTCCCATCTTTCTTTCTTGCAGCCGGTCAAAACAAATTGGTTCTGAAACCCAGGATCGTTGAGTAGAGCCATACTTTGAACCTTTTCTGTGACCTAGCGTGCTTCTTTTCTCCTCTCTTTCCTTCTCTCTGGAATGTAGGTGTGATTGTGTGAGTGAATAAACAGCTCTTACACCAGTCCTAGCATACTGGCTCGGGGTTGATTGGGACTGTATCCTTGTTCTTGAGACCCATAAGGCTTAGTGGAGACTTGGCCAGTAGCTCTAGACTTGGCCAACCAGGCACGGCTTATATGCGCACTCCTATGCTAAGGGTCTCTTTAGATTCCACGAGGAGTCAGGTGGGAACAGTCAATTTGAATGTATCCTGATCCCCAAGGCCTCCTGGCCTCCCTCTTTGCTGCAGTCTTTCTGTTGATCTTGGCGTTTTGCTCCTCTTGGCATCACCTCTGTGGTGCCAAAAATATGTGATTACATCGCAGGAACAAGGTTAGGGTAAGTCACCCCGATTCTGGCTCAAGAACACCCTCTACTCTCCCTCTTTTTTTTTCTCCTTTCTCTCAGTGTGGTCCCTCCTAGGGCGCACTCATCCCTCACAGAGTGTTTTTGGTCGCTCCTAGGGCGTTTTTGGTCCCTCCCAGGGCACAGCTTGTGAATTTGTCTCTCTCAGGACATAGCTTGTTGAATTTGTCCCTCCCAGGGCGTATTTTGATGTATTTGTCCTTCCTAGGGCACACTTACCTCTTAAGCTGTTTTTGTTTTTTATTTTTTTGTTTTTGTCTCTTCTCTTCTTTTCTCTCACTCCACACATAGTGGGTAACTTTTAAACCCCCTCCAATGCATCCTCAGTCATTGGGATACTTTGGGTCTTAAACAAGATGGCCTCAAGAAAAAAAAAAAAACTTGTTCGTTTCTGCAATGTAGTATGGCCCCAATATAAGTTAATAACAATCACTGGTGGCCAGAAGGAGGAACACTTGATTACTCAGTCCTTAAGGATCTAGGCAGGTTTTTATACTGCACTGGCAAGTGCTCTGAGACCCTTTATCTTCAGGTTTTCTTTTATATCCGTTCCAGTCCTTCACTTCTTAAGCTTTGCAGTCCCTTCTATATACTAGTGGCAAAAACAGGCATTCCCAGTCACCCCTGTCCCCAGCATCCAAAACCAATTCCTCTCTTTCCTATGGATGAGGAAGGAGACTATCTTTTCCCTTCTGCTCCGGTACCTGACTTGACCCCGCCATATCCTACTCAGACAAGAAGGGTCCAAAACTCCCCTGTTACAGGAGACAATAACAACAAAGAGGATAGTGGTGAATGGCCTGACACCCCATATGGGAAGGATGGCCCTCCCTTGGGATCCCCAGGACCGGAAGGCACGGTCAGGATCTATTCGCCTTTTCCACTTTCAGAGCTCTCAAACATAGAAAAATGGCTCGGCTCTTTTCAGGATGACCCTATACTGTACACACAGGAGTTCACCTTCCTTCGTCAATCCTTTGATCTGACGTGGCAGGACATTAATATCATCTTAGTGGCCACCCTTCCTTCAGAGGTCAGAGTGCAGATTTTTCAGGCAGCCAAAGAACACACAGATTGCCAAAATGCCCTTAATCCCGATCATCCAACAGGGGGTGAGGCTGTCCCAGATCAGGACCCAAACTGGGACTACCAAAGAGATAGTCCAGGTAGACTTAGGAGAAACATATACTTCGCCTGTTTAATAGCAGGCCTTAAAGCCACGGCTCAAAAAACCGTGAATTATGACAAACTCAAGGACATTTCTCAGGGAGCTGATGAAAATCCAGTGGCCTTTCTAGGTTGCCTTACCCACTGCCTACAAAAATACACCCGCCTCAATCTCAAACAACCAGTGGGCCAAGCCATATTAGCATCCCACTTTATCACACAATCTTACCCAGATATCAGGAGAAAAATCATCAAGGCAGAAATGGGACCTCAAACCCCCATCAAAGAGTTACTAGACACATCGTATAGGGCTTTCAATATCTGGAACGAGTCAAGGGCTCAGCAGCAGGTCGCTCTAATGATGGCTTGTGTCAGGACCTCTCAGAGCCAAAGAAAATTCCACAGTGCTTTAGATGTGGTGATACCAGCCACTGGGCTAATCATTGTCCCCACCAATTTAACCGTCCTCCCCCAGGGCTATCCTCCCCCGGGGCCCTGACCTCAGTGTGGCCAACTGGGACATTGGAAAAATCAGTGCCCCAAACATGCCCTACTTATAGAAAACTCTCAGGTGACCCTGGGGGGTGGCCAGGGTGGCAGACGTCTTCCCCCTCCGTCCTCCTTA